AGAGACATAACGATACACTTAGGCCATATTTGATTAATGACACTGGGTTCATGATTCAATATTCTCACAATATTCTTAATAGAAAATACTAAGCAGATGCTGAATTCAATCAGTAAAATTTTATGTGGAGATGGCATGATGTTTCCCCAACTGATGCCGATACCAACACTGAAAGCTTGAGTATCAGCTACACCTGTCACAATTATTACATATTCACCTGATTACAAGTATTTGAGCCCATTGCAGTTATTTCACACAATTGTTAGCTTTCAACATCATATGTTTACATTGCAATAAGCAGAATGTTAATTGGGTGCTTTTTCCATCAGTTCAGTTGAAGTAATAAAATAAAGCAGAAAATAAAAATAAATAAAATAAGCAGTAAATACATTTAATAAGACACGACATGGGTCTTACAAAAACAATTAAAATTTTAACTTTTGACTTGGTGCCATATGTATAGAAGGCAGCAGCGAGTAACGTGTTTATTTGAGTTTCTGTCTTCAGCTGGAATCTATCAAGTATTGACAGCTAGACAGCAAGATAGCTAATCAGCCAATTTGGTCATTTTAAGTTTGAACATTAATATTTGCATACACAGCATAAAGGACGAAATATACAGGTAACTACATGACATCACGATATGTGAGTATACGCTACTTCAGGTTAGATTTGTTCACAGGATTCGATTGTCTATTTTTACAGCATGGTATCAGATCTGTGCCATCTCTACTTTTACGCAAAACACATTTTTGAGGAACACTTTAATTCTTCAGTCAAATATATTTGTAAATTAATCTGTAAGTCTGTATAATAATGTGGTAATTAATGATATGATACAGACGTGGCAGACTGAGGTTAGGTTAAACTAATCGCTGGAGTATTCCTTTAACAGTATGTGACTTACTCTCCACTGAACTTTGGCTAGTGCTAGATCAGTATAGGAATCCGTAATGTATGATTTGGAATGCAAAATAAGAATTATCCAGTTACACAACCAAACAGGAGCACATGCAACAAATTCTGCCAGAGATTTAGCCATCAACACTACACAGCCTCCTTCTGATATAATCTCATTATGAGGCTCATTGACCCCATATTTACAATATAAAGGCCATTATACAACAGTTAGTTCCGGCCACAGAAGCTGATTGGTTGAGAAGCATTCTAACCGTGCTGTTATTTTGCCATAACATCAGGGGATTTTCACAAACACTGTATCACTGTATCTCTCTCAACGCTGAGACGCTGTTGCTAAGCAATGACATTGACAGCTGTTGGAGACGCTCAAGCCATTTGAATGTTGTTACTTCTTAGTTTGCTCACAAACAGAAAATGGATACTTTTAAGATTACATCTGACCTACAGCCGATTTGGTCAGACTCTGAAGATGAGACTACGCTAAATTCTCAAACTGGAGAACAAACTGCTGGCTGTGCAGCGAGTGAGCGGAGCTCGTTACTCTGATGTAGCAACAAGCTGCTTGTTGAGGAACTATAATTTTGTGGAAGGAATTGCTACATTAAAACATATTAAATGCCACGTTCACGGCCCAATTTATTTATTTATTACTTTATTTATTTAACTGTTATATAAAAGCAATAGAATACTAGAGGTTGTGTGTTATCACGAATAACATCACAGCTGTGCGACCAAATCACAGCCGTGATGTTATTTCGTGATAACACACTCCCTCTCGTGTTCTGTTGTTTGAATGCAAACTTCTAAAGCAACTGCACACACAATTATACCAGACCAAACTGTCTTGACAAGTTGCTTTGGTGTGTTATGAATGTGAGCATTAGAATGTGACTGTTGGCTTATATTTTTTTCTTGCTTCAGTTCTTCTTTCTCTTCAGTAATAATAATTCAGTTAATCTCTCTTTTCATCTATTGCTATGAATCAAAGGAATCAATTTTTGCCTATCCTTCAAGTTCTTACAGAAGTATGTGTGTTATGCAGCGTAAAGCACAGTATAATCATATACAAGTATAACTGTAACTAATGTAAATGTGCTGATGTTACTTTTTGCTTAAAAATTAGTGGAAAAAACTAATGTCAAACCTGCTCACAAACTAGAACTTCCAGATCTATAAAAGTTCGTTGGGATCAGCACTGAGGTGGCGTATGCAAATGTCAACCTCTATAGGTGCAACTAGTTTGAAGCATAAGTGTGAATATTCTCACGAAGATTTCTTGCTTAACCCTTTAAACTGCAATTTTTTATTCAGTTATTAGGCTAATCTTAAGACTTAATATTCAGTAACTACAATAAATTACTCAGTAACTACTATAAAACAAATATGTAAAGTCTATAGTTATAAAAGTCAGAAATAAAAGTGTGGGGCCACATAGACTGAGGCACATTAATGATGTCTATTTGTGTTCTGCTTCCTAGTTACTAATCTGTGTGTTATATACATCCTTAAAATGGTTCTTCAAAGGTTTTTAGTAAAGCAAAGTTTATATATAGAACTGTGAATACTCAAAGAACTATTTGAATGCATAAATGGCTCTTTGCATGGTTAAACATCTTCTTCTCTATGAAGAAATGGTTCTTCCTTATTGTAAATGGTTGTTTAGAGAAACTGTTAAGAGGATTTTCAAAGGAGGATCCCCCACTGACAATGTAATTCCAAACCTAGGTGTAATCTGTTTGTCCCTGAAGCCTAAATTTGCTATCTAGTCATTATAACTGTAAAAGATTTCGATTTTCATTTTACCACGATCAGTTGTGACAGATAGTTCTCAATACCACAAATGAACGATGCTAGTATTAGTACAGAGTGCAAACAAGCAAAGGACTTAAAGGGGAATTTCACCAGTTTTTCAAAATTTCTGCTGAGATGTAAACAAAGTCATTCAGATGGGTTTGATGTCAAATTGTGCATTGTAAAGAAACTTATGCAGATTTATTTACAATTCTGGTAACAGGAAATGAGATTGAGATTGAATGAGGTTTTATGTAATGTTGATGACGGTAAAATAGTGGTAAAACTTTTTGCCTTACAATGTCCTACATGTACATCAACCGTAAACAATCGTAAAACAACGTTTCAGTCATGAGGCAATGCATTCATAAAGATTTTTTGTAAAACTTTGTGAAGTACCTTTTTGTAAAAGCTTCTGGCATCTGGTTGCTATCACCACCACTGTAAACAATTCTCACTCTGTGAATGTCTCTAGAATTATTTATTTTACATCAAAACACTCTGAATGACTGTTTACATCTTAACGATTTTTACATTTTAAAGTGTTGGTGGAATTTAATTCTGAGGAAGCCAAAGCATCTTTTTGTTCTACAAAGGTACCACCCAGTCAGCCAAGAGTACCTTCAGACCCCATTTGCCTGCAAAACCACAGTCAAGTCTGATGGGTTCTGAGTTCCAAGGAGAACACAGAATACACACTGATAGCACCAATCAGTGAGCAATGAAAACAATCATCTATCACCAACTCCACAGTGATTATTGCATAAGGAAATATGAAAATAGAATAAAATACTCATTATCTCTTCTAGGAAGTCCTGGTGACAGGCTTATGTAGTAAAGACAAGACGGATCTACAGATACCAAAACAGAGATTTCCTGATGCACATCGAAACAGACTGTTAAGAAATATATGAGACAATATATATTATAGGGCTGTGATTAATACAATATCACTGGCTGTATACATATATATATCAGACTTTCCTTCAACTTTCCTTCAAGAGGGGCTTTACTGGAAACAGCAGCAAAGTGGGAAATGGAAAAATAAAGAAAAACTAAAAGTATACGGCTTTGAGCTCTGTTGTGAGTCGATGAACTGTTATCTACAACATAGCTACGTCTTCGACTCGACAGCCTTGCCAGCTAGATTTATTTCAGAGTAAAAGCCTGGAAAATGAATATCAGACGTTTTCTCAACCAGGGACAAGAGAGTAATGGTGGTCATTTTTGTTGTACTGCTATTTGACATGTGGATCGCAGTTATATATTCTTTAATGAATGGCTGCTACTTCTGTTGTATATTTTTGGTGTTTATCTGCATGTTTTGAAAAGGCCTGAACTGAACTACTCAGTGTTTGCAGGAATGCATGCACAATGTTTGAACTTGGGACAGAAGATTCATTTTGTGGCCTGGTGGCCTAAATAAAACTCGTTAATATTTATTTTTTCCCCTCTACTTCGTTTTCAACGTGGACCGTCCAGTCTGTCACACACTGGATCACCAGCTTATTCTAAACCAAAATTATATATCGTCAGACTTCACGACTTCCAGAAAGTTAGCGTGTTTACAAAAAGCCTGACCTATTTCTCAATCTGCCCCTTAATTACAGGATATCACAGACATGGCATTGGAACCACACCAAGCATCTAAACTGCCTCAGGGAAAGGATGGTGTGTTTCAACGCCATTAGCACAGAATCTGTTAAAAGCTCCCTGTAAATGTGGTCTTTTCTCTACCTCACACTGTAAAACTCGAAGAGTCTGGAGATTTTACCGTTCGAATACACACAGAACGAGTAGTTCATGACTTATAAATGTCACTGTTACTCATTAATCTACAAGTTACAAAGACGCCCTATAGCAACAGGCTGAGCTAAATTAACAACGGTTTATCTAACAGAAAATAACAGTGCCCGAAAAAGCGAAGTTAGCAACGATGAACATCCAGAAGAGAACATAAATAAAGCCTCAGCGCGAAGCACACACAACCAAAACGCCACATCAGCATGTGTACAGTAAAGCCGATCCATAATACTGTCCGAACAGGATCTCTGGCTATTCAGAAAGTAAACGAATCCGCTATGAAGGAGCTAGCTAGCCAACCCGCCGTACGTAATACTGTGAAATTGTTAAGATTACTCAAGAGAGTCAGACGAATGGTTTATTTCCACTTGCTAGCAACGCGTTCAACTTGCTCTTCAGCGCGTTACCAAACAACTCGTAACGTGTAATACTTCTATAATAACTAGCCTATAATCGTTTTAAATAAACGAAGAGTGAGAACTTACCCTTTCAGTATAGCTAAAAGAAGAAGAAAACCACTCTGAACAGCTGTCAGTCAGTCCGCGCTCTGCTCTCAGCCAGGGAACAAAAGTTGTGAGGTGCAGTGTGAACACGTTGAGGAGCTTCGACAGACTGCCGGAGAGAAAGAACCAGCCAGGAAGAGGAGAGAAACACGCCTGCTGCGTCTCCCCTCCTACACTGGCAGCAGTATGCTAAAATAAACTCGTTGACTTATTGCCTCGAAATAATGACTTGTGTTCTCGACTATATGGCTTTGTATCTCAAAATATTGGCTTGTTTTCTCGAGATGTTGAGATAATAAGCCATTATTACAGAATACGAAGTCGTTATTTTCGACGTCATTATTTAGTAATTACTCATTTAGAGTGAATCAGTATTTTGAGAAAATAATTAGAGATAGCAAATCAATAAACTGAGAAAATAAGTAATTGTTTCGAGACATTAAGACATAATCTTGATTTTCTGCTGCCAGAAACAGAGAAGGAAGAACATGGGTGATTTTTTTTTGTCCTCTACCTGGTGGAAATGGGCTTCCGTAGCCTACTAAGTTACATAGTGACCTGTGAGACGTTTTCACTGTATGCCCACAAGTTGTCCAACATATTGCAGATTTTAGATGTAGGCTATCTGGAGGGCTATCTCCTTCTTAATATAGCAAAAAACAACAGATGTATTCCCCAGACCTCTATGCATTCTTTTCCACGTGGTAGGCGGGTCTTTAAACAAGCACCAAACAGAATTAAGTCATTTTTACTACATCCCCATTTCCAAAAAAGTTGGGACGCTGTGCAGAATATAAATAAAAATAGAATGCAATCATGTGCAAATCAGGTAAACCATAATTTTAAAGGAAAATAGTACAAATACAACATATCAAATGTTGAAACAGAGAAATGTTATTGTTTTTTAAAAAATATATGCCCATTTTGAATTTGATGCCAACAACACGTTCCAAAAAAGTTGGGACGGGGACATGTTTACCACTGTGTTTCATCACCTCTTCTTTTAACAATACTTGGCGTTTGGGAACTGAGGCTGTAGTTTTGAAAGGGAAATGTATTCTCATTCATCCCTCAACATAGAATTTCACCTGCTCTTCAGTTCAGGGTCTCCTTTGTCGTGTTTTTCATTTCATAATGTGCCAAATGTTTTCAGTGGTGACAGGTCTGGACTTCAGGCAGGCCAGTTTAGCGCCTAGACTCTTTTAATATGGAGCCATGCTGTTGTAATATGTACAGAATGTGGTTTTGCATTGTCTTGCTGAAATAGTAAAGGCCTTCCCTGAAAAAGACGTCATCTGGATGGCAGCATATTTTGCCAAAACATGTATATATCATTCAATTAATGGTGCCTTCACAGATGTGCGCATCACCCATACCATGTGCACTAATGCCCCCCATACCATCATGAATGCTGGCTTTTGAACTGTGCACTGATAACAAGCTGAGTGGTTTTTAGCCTGGAGGACACAGTATCCATGATTTCCAAAAAGAATTTCAAATGTTGATTCATCAGACCACAGGACACTTTTCCACTTCCCTTCAGTCCATTTTAAATGAGCTTCGACCCAGAGAAGGTGGGTCCAGAGAAGAAAATAAGAACTACTCATGCCATGTGTACCATGACTCAACCTCAAACCAGTGATGCCATATAGAAGACTACTAGAGTGATGTTACTAGAATGAGGTTGTGCATCATTTTGTAGTCATCAAGACTGCTCAGATAAAGATCTCTGGGTCTAAACCAGTTCTTTCTCTATAGGAAAAAAATGTGTTTTTAAAAATCGCATCTATCACAGCCTGTTATAAACAATTTTTTTTCAAAGCCAGTACATTTTTCTGTACAGTTGTTTTTCTCCAAATGTCACTGGATCCTTTGAGTATAGACAAGATCGTAATCACAATATATATTTAGGGGGGGATACGTCCCCCTAATATTCAGATATGCTTAAATGCATACTGCTGTAGGAAATATAAATAAAATATTCTGTTCACTACCTTTGCATAATGTTACACACTTAAAAATGATGGTTCTCTAAGGGTTCTTTAGTAAAGAAAATGGTTCTATATATAACCATGAACGCTCAGATAACCCTTTGCATGATTAAAGGGTTCTTTGCATCATGAAAGGGTTCTTCTGTGTTAAAAAGAGTTCTTCTATTGTTACAGTGTCAAGCTTGTAATAATAGAAGAACCCTTTATGGTGCTATATTGAACAGAAAGGTTTCAGAAAGGTTCTATATGGAACCATATTCAACACATTCTCCATCAATCTGAAGAACCATTTCATGATGCAAAGATCCCTTTAATCATGCAAAGGGTTTCTTTGAGTGTTCATGGTTCTATATAGAACCATTTTGTTTACTAAAGAACCCTTGAAGAACTGTCATTTTTTTAGTGTGTAGAATCTGTCAGTCTTCTCATCAGTTGTTGATGGGACATCTATTATTGTAACAAAATACTACCATACCAGCACTTCACTGCAGCAAAGTCTTTATAAGGTCTCTGACTTGCATGTATAATTGTGGAAATAATAAATATTTTGCTGAAAAATGTTGGTAATTGTATGAAGTGGAAATTTTTTGGTGAAAATGGGCCAATTTGTGAGTGCTAACCAATCAACCATCACTAACGTTAGCTATCATAGCTAACACCACATTTACACCTGGTCATTTCATGCTTGAGTGTCTTGAGTATCAGGATTACTCTGGAAAAGGCCAAGCCACCGAATAATGCAAGTGTAAACACACCAAGATGCATTTGTAACAGATACAAATCCGGTCGCTTAAAACCACTTCAGGAGGTGATCTGAGACACATTTGAGCCACATGTTATAGCAATGTAAACACAGCTGTCTCTCCAAGACACATTTGATGACTAAACCCCCCAGCACAACCAAAACTCCTCCCCATGGGGCATGTGATGCCTAATAGCATGTGGACAGATACTACTTTGCAAAACAAACGGCAGACAAAGGGGCTGAATGGATAAACATTTGGTAACTGGTTCCCATGTAACGAGCAGATTTGCATCTTTCATCCCACACAACTATTGTATTTCAGTCTGAATAACCAGAGATGCATTTGACTACCAGGTGTATATGCATGTGGCTAAAATCTTATTGGGTTACAATGCAGGATACATAACAGGTGTAAATGGGGTATAAGTTACCTGGAAAGTTAATTAGCTACACATTCACACAGTGACCAACAACGGTCACGGACATGTTCAACTAATTAAATAAGAGCTTTCATTTACTGCATATTCATGAAGTATCCTGCGTAGTGGTACTTGCTTATGATAAAGAGCATTACTATTGTTTGTTTGATTAAAGTGCTTTACAATGAGCCATCATAAGCAAGAGGAAAAGTGGCAGTGATATTCATCAGTTTTTTTGGACAGACTCCGAAAAAAAAAGTAAAGTAAAAAAAAAAGAAAAGTAAGTTGAGAGCAGTAGGAAAATGAGTACTAGTAAGAAGACAGAGGCTTACAGCAGTACCAGAGATGAGTCAGTGTTTCTTGATATTGTGACGACTTGGCAAAGAATCATGGTTTTCAAGGAAGGCTCAGCAGAGAAAACTGCTGCACAGGACTACTGAACAGCTGGAATAACAGACGACAATAACCACACACCTCAACGGGAAAGTAGGGACTAGCACTGCACAACTACTCCATAACCCAGCAGAGACACAGCCCAACATGTACATATATACAGTGATTAAGCCGTGACTACAACTATTTATATGTTTTAATTCTCTCTTTCTTCCTGTCTGGTGCTCTCTCAGAGAGCTCTGTGATTGTTGCTCCACATGGCCACGCCACAGCCGAACAAGCCAGTAGCAGGATGCTACACAGCACCCCTCTTAAAAAGAGCTGCCTGAGTGACCCCACAAAGTCCAAAGAGTCACTCCCCTGCAATCTCTCCACAGCAGGGGCTTCGGACTGTATGCTATTTCAACAAAAACACATACCATGGGCCTGCTCTCTCAGCCACACACGCTGTCAGTCCTCCCCCTAGGGTCATGCTCTCCTGCCCGGAGCACCAGAGGAGAGACTGAGTGCTGCATCCTCCTTCCCATGGCGGCAGAACTCCTTGCAGCTCGTGGCGTCAATACTTGTGCTACGACTACAGTCACGGCTCCGCTTCCTCCTCCACCCACCACGTACATCAACGCAAGTGAGAGAGCTGCATGTGTTTGCTAGAGACCTGGCTCAAAGCCTTGGCAATCCATGCCGCCGGCACCTGCTCACAGCATCACTGGAAGGCCCCAGCCACTGCCACCAGGCCACCACTCCATTCCTCTGTCAGGCCCTCGCTGACCGCCGTCCTCTGTCCTCTGGCCGAACTCCTGCTGGGCCTCCTGTGCTGCTTCCGCTGCAGTCCCTGCCTTGCTGCCTCACAGTCTTCTTGTTTGGGCTTGGTCCAACCACTCATCCTTTTGAGCTCATAGTAGCACTGCTCTTAAGTAGTGGGAAGTCCCACTTCTGATCACCAATGTGATGACTTGTCAAAGAAAGAGACACGGGAGTCATAGCACTTTTTTAGTGAAGGCACTATTCTTGAACATTCAGCAGAAAAACCTACCGCCAAGCATTACTAAACGGCTGGGATAGCAGCCAGGTCATCAATAACCAAACACCTCAATAGAATGGTAGGTCAGGTCAAGTCAAGTCAAAGTTTGTTTATATAGTGCTTTTTACAACAGGCATTGTCACAAAGCAGCTTTACAGAAAAATCTGTGTCCAAGCCCCCATGAGCAAGCCAATTGCGAAAAACTCCCTAAGAGCAAGAGAAAGAAACCATCAGAAAAAACAAGTCTCAAAAGGGGGACCCATCCTCTTCTGGTTGACACCAGATAGTAAAACAACAACACGAGCAATATGAACAGAGAATAAGGTTTTATTTATTATTATATATTATAAGTATTAAAAAAGCAGAAAAGGGGAAATGCAGGTGAAGCAATGGCTATGATTAAATAGTTTGTGTCTGTGCTGGCAGCAGTATCATCAGGAGGGCCAGTTCATGCAGGTGAGGTTTGCACAGCGTTGTACAGCAGAAAGCTCCATGGTGGTCAAACTGGCCTAGAAGGCAGGCGAGCAGTGGCACCCAATCAAGGCAGATGAAAC